TGCCCCCCTGCCCCACCCTCCCATCTCCACTGGCGACACCCTTTCCCCTCTGGGAATTCAACACAAGAAGGGAGGGGACTTAAAACACACAAGTCAGGACAAAGGAAAACACAACACAAAAACCCCCAAGTAACTCAGGTTCCGTTTCGTTTTGTCTTTGTACGTAGGAAAATGGACAAACGTTTCTTAGTTTTGGGTGCCTTCTAGATATTGAATTGTTTACCGTTCAGTTCAAGCATTAATTTCTCTCTTTTGCTTTTTTTTTTAAGCCTGATTTTCAAACACATGGTCATCGTGAAGGCCAAACTTGGCCAGAATTTTATGATGGAAATACAGAAATTCAAAGATGAAAGTGAAGATTACTTGGCACACATGTGGCACCGTCTGGCCTTGAACTCCAGGAGTGTGCAGGGCGAGCTGACCTGCTATCACAACGCCATCCAAGCCTTACAGGTCTGCCTGGGTGCTCGTGACGTCAGCCTCTCAGTTGTGGACGCGGGCCCGAGGAGGGAGGCCTGGGGAACCCCTGGCCCAGCGGAGGCGTGGGCGCAGCCACAGGGAGGGGACGCGCCCTTCTCACGAGCGCAGGGGAGCAGGCAGACAGACCCCTGTCTTCCGTGGCACCTTCCAGCGTGGAGGGAGAGGCCCTGCGTGGGTGCAGCGCCCGCATTGCTGCCCCGGGGGACGGTTGTGCGGGAGGGGGTGAGGCCCGCAAAGAGGGGGTGCCCGAGGCCGGACCGGGCACAGAGGAGCAGGCTGTGTCGCCTTCTGCGATTCGGGGGTCTCGGTCTCTCCCCACGACGAGAATCACGGCAGACATTCGTCTCCACGCACCTGGAGTGAAGCAGGGCAGGTTTGGGGAGGGGACGGCGCCTCCACGTGACCCCACGGCAGGTGGGGGCTCTGCTGGGGGGCAAAGCCGCCCCTCAGTCACGGCCCTGAGCTTGTCCTGAGGACGCCACCAGCGCCAGGTAACTGATGGGGCTTTTCTGTTACTCGGAGTGTCTCTCATGGAGCAAATCCTGCTGTGAGGTTTGTCGACGGAGCCAGGGGTGGTGTGTCCCTCGGGAAGCAGTTAGCTGGGGACTGGTCAGGACGCTGCTCTGGGTCCAAACACAGGCTCTGCGTGGTCAGCGCTGAGAGGCCAGTGAAGAGGCTCCTGGGACCTGGGTCCCCACCGGGTTCAAAGGGACCAGGCAGTGTGGACCCCACCCTCCAGGGAAAGGCTTCCCCGGCACCAGGCTCCTTGCAAAGGCTGTCTGTCCCCACCGACCCCAAGTCCCCTCGTTCCTCGTTTCTGGTTTCTTGGGGTGCAAGGTGGATCTTCATGAACTCACAGGGTCACGTAGCCATCACTGCCATCGGTTTGAGGACGCTTCACCACCACCCAGAAAACCTGGCCCATTAGCGCCCGTCCCCTCACCCACCGCCGGCCAGCGGTCCCCTTTCTGTCTGTGTGGGTTTGTCCGTTTTGCATGTGTCGCACAAGATGTGTCCTTTGTGCCTGGCGTCTTTCATCTGGCATAATGCGTCCAGGCTCTCTTGGGTTATGGCTGTGTCCGAGCTTCACCCATTTCTCTGGCTGGTAAGGCTCCACTGTGTGCAGACGTTGTCAGGTAACGTTTTGTTGACGGGTGTGCGTGTTTCCATGTTTAGCTCTCGTGAAAGACGCTGCACGGACGCCCCGTTTGTATCTCCCGGGCACAGACCTAGCAGTGTATGCAAGGTGCCCGGAGAGCTCTACTGGACCTTCCGAGGGGCGGTCACGGCTCTCCAGAGCTCTTTCCCACCAGCAGCGGCGAGGGCCCCAGTGTGGCCGCACCCTGGCCCGCACCACCCACTGGCTTTCTGACCTAGTGTCCTGGGGGGGACGGTGCTGTCCCATTGTGGTTTGACTTGTGCTTCCCGGGTGACTCACACATGTGTGTATTTTCTTTTTCTTTCTTTTTTTTTAATGTTTATTTATCTATTTATTTTTAATGTTTATTTATTTTTGAGAGAGAACAAGCACGAGTGGGGGAGGGGCAGGGAGAGAGGGAGACAGAGGATCCAAAGCAGGCTCTGAGCTCTGTGCTGATAGCAGAGATCCTGATTCGGGGCTTTAACTCACAAGCTGTGAGACTGTGACCTGAGCCGAAGTCAGATGTTTAACCAACTGAGCCCCCCAGGTGCCCCCCTTTTTTTAATGTTTATTTATTTTTTTAGAGAGAGAGAAAGCAATGTATTTTCATGCATGTATTGGCCATTTGTCTATCTTTTTAGCTTGAAAAAAAATTTTAATGTTTATTTACTTTTTGAGAGAGAGAGAGACAGAGACAGAGACAGAGGTGTGAGTGGGGGAGGGGCAGAGAGAGGGAGACACAGAATCCGAAGCAGCTCCAGGCTCCGAGCTGTCAGCACGGTGGCTCTCGAACCCACAAACTGAACCGTGAGATCATGACCTGAGCTGAAAAGTAGGACGCTTAACCGACAGGTGCCCCTGTCTATCTTTTTCAGAAAAATGTCTATTGAGATTCTTTGTCCACTTTTTTATTTAGTTGTTTGTCTTTTTATTGTTGAGTTGTAGGACTTCCTCATGTGTCCTGGGCACAACCTCTGATGAGATAGGAGATTCGTATATGTGCGTTGTCTTTTCAAGCGCTTTTCACTTTGTTGGTGATGCGTTTATAGCCCAAACATTTGTAGTTTTGATGAAGTCCACTCTGTTTCTTTTGTTGCTTGTGTTTATGGACTGTGTCCCCGGTGCCGTCTCGTGGTCCAAGGTCACGAAGAGCCACTCCTGTATTTGTTGTAACGGCGTCATTGTTTCAGCTCCTACATTCAAGTCTTCGATCCATTTTGAGTTACACTTTGTGGCTGGTGTGAGCATGAGGGCACCCCATTTTCCCAACACCATTCGTTGAGAGATGGTGTCCGTCATAAACCCCACCCAGGCTCTGGCACCCCCCCAGCTCCCTTGCAAAGCTCTTGCCAAGCCCCCAAGACCGCCGTGGGCACCCTGAGGCCCCCCCCTCCCCGACCTGCCCCTGCCCTGTCTGGCTTCCTTCTCTGGGCTCCCAGGTCCCCCCGCCTCCCAGCCCAGCCACCCCCCCCCTACCGCCAACCACTTAATGGGGAGAGGGCGGGACTCAGGGCTCCGATCCCTCCATCCACGACTCCCCTCCCACCCCCGCCAGTGATCTCAACCAGAGCCAAACCCCACCTCTACCCTGAGTCTCCTCACAACTTCGTGTCTGGCCTGGACCCCCCTCCAACCTCACCTCCCATGACCCATCGCCCGTCCCCCTCTGTCTTCTTGCGTGGCAGCCCGACACCCAGAATCAAACGCCTGCTCCTCAGCGCCACCCTCCTCTGTCCCAGCCCACGGATGGCGGCCCCCACTGGCCTGGGTGTCAGGCGAGGGCTGTGGGGTTGGGGCGAGCGTGTGGGGCCCTGCAGGTGGACCAGACATCAGTTGGGCTGTCTCTGCTCCGGGAGGGGTGGGAAGCGGCAGCCCTGTCCCTCGTGCAGTGAGTTTCGACTCACTTTGTGCGGGGTTCTGGGGCTGCATGCTGGACGGAACAGCCTCCTTCCCTGACCCCGGAGCCCTGGGTAACCACAGACCCGTCCAGAGAAAGCCTCGCAGACACATTTGAATGAGTGCCTGGGGAGGCACTAAGCTGAGCACAGACTGAAGGCAGACAGACTCAGGAGGGCCGGCGGGCGCCCGCAGCGGGGTGGGAAGGGGGCCGGGAGACTGCCCGGCTTTGGTCTCGTGACAAGACCATCAGCAAAGGAAAGGTTGTGCACGAGTGTGGACGGCATTGGGTCCCATCAGAGGGTCCCGCGCCGCGAAGGTGGGTTGAGAGCCCTCCGCCCGCTTGCAGCGACGTGCTCAGTCCAGCATTTGGGACGCCGAGGAGTGAACACATACCCCTTCTGACCTTTTTGTTCAATCCCAAAGAAGCCAGAGAGTGACTGGCAAAAAGTAGAATACATCCTGGAATTCAGCGAGTGGCTGTATGACAAACAGTTTCCCATGGAGGACGTAACTTTCCACCTGACGTGGGCGATTCACATCCTGCTGGCGATGACACCTGCCAGGGACGCCCCTGAGCTGGCAGGTGAGGGTGGGCTCGGACGCCCCTCAGTGGTTATCTGCTCTGGTTCGCGGTCAGCTGCTCAGCGCGCAGGGCCGCGCCCTCCCCGTGGCACCGGGGCGCTTGGGTGGGGGGCTCCCTCCTGCCTGGGATGGGCGTGTCCTCACGGCCCCCACCGGGACCTGCAGCCCCCAGCGGGCAGCCCTGTGGTCCGCTGGCTGGGGGAGGAGCCCTGGACGCCCGTGCCCCCAGGTGCCCTTCAGAAGGGCCCACGCCATCCGAGTGTGGACATGCTCGTGGCCGTGGGCACCCCTGTCTTGCAGAGGAACAGCTGCCCGCTCAGACAGCCCCTGAAAGTCCAGTGTCCGAGGCTGCGGGGACAGTCTCCTTGGAGAAGCTTTGGAACGTGAGGCAGCTGGAGGCGCTGGCCCGCGCCTACACCCTGCTGGCCCTGATGGTGTCCCCGAGCGCGGCCAGCTACCAGGACTACTGCCTCATGGCCTACACGTTCCTCAAGCGCATCTGGCAGGTGAGGCACGAGGCTGCTCCCTTCTGGGTCCCCAGCTCTTGACGGGAGTCCGAGCCTCTCCCTGTAGCCCGTGGGCCTCACCTGCTCGAGAAACCCCTCAAGGAAGGCCCGCTCCAGTGGCCGAGGCCACTCGTCTCCGAAACCCACCCAGCACCCTTGTCCGTCCGCCCAGAAGTTCCCCGGCGGGGGTGCCCACAGCCCGTGTGAATGGAGCGGCCGGCTGGCCCATGTTTGCATCTCCCTGCCCCTCGGTGGCCCAGGCACAGCAATCCTGAGCTGCCCTGCTGCTGGGCTTCCAGAACCTTCTGTGCACGGCCTGTCCCTACCATCTCTTTATAGGGCTCCCCACCCGGGGAAGCTCTTGGAGCCTCTGGTTCTTGAGGACCTCCTGTGGGCAGTACCCGCCCCCCTCAGAAATGTGCTGGGAACCTTGGCTGCGGGAAGGACGGGCGGGACTGGGAAAGCAGCTTCAAGATGCTCCAGCCCACTGTCCCACCACCCATCAAACAAGGATCTTTATGCTTCTTTTAGGAGAACTGCTAAGTTATGTGTGTTCTATTTGTTTTATTTTTTTTTAATGTTTTTTTATTTATTTTTGAGACAGAGAGCATGAGCAGGGGAGGGGCAGAGAGAGAGGGAGACACGGAATCCGAAGCAGGCTCCAGGCTCTGAGCTGTCAGCACAGAGCCTGACGCGGGCTGGAACCCACAAACCGCGAGATCGTGGCCCGAGCTAAAGTCAGACGCTTAACCGACTGAGCCACCCAGGCTCCCCAAAGTTATGTGTGTTCTTAATTAGAGACATGAACTCACTTCATAGAGCTGACAAGCCCTCCTTGGAGGTCAGCCCCGTGTCCCCACCGCGCCCGCATCCTGGAGGCCAAATGTCCCACTCACCAAGAGATGCTGCGGTAACCCGTGCACAGGGCGGGCTCACCGACGTGGCCCTGGCACACGAGTGGCGTGAGGTCGCCACTCAGAGCGTTAGGACCACTGGCTGCCCTCAGATCTGAGCGTGTGCAGGGGTGCGTTCGCGGCTGTTCCTCATGTTGCAAACCTGGATTTCATTTTTCACAGGTTTCTTTGTTAACAGCAGGAAGATCAATTTCAGAAAGCAGAATTCTAGCAGCAACAGCTAGTTCACATTTGCTACTGCCTAAAAAGGAGAAGGAGAAGAGGAAGGAGAAGAAGGAGAAGGAGCCAGGGAAGGAGAAGGAAAAGAAAGAGAAGGAGAAGGAGAAGGAGGACAGAGAGAAGGGCAAAGACCCCAAGCAGGTACCCTGACAGTGGGGCTCCAGGCCACAGACTGGGGCCAAGCAAGAGGGCCTGGACCCACACCCGGGCTGCCGGGCCGTCGGGAGGGTGCCCCAGGGTGTGTGCCCCCCACCCCCCGGCAGAGGGTGTGCGGGTGGGAGGGCAGCTCTCTGGAGGAGTGGGAAGACAGCGTCCTCGTCACGTGGGGCCCCACCTCGCTCACGTGGCAGTCCTGTCCGACTGCCCTCCGGAGCGGGCGCTCCCCCTGGACTCCGGCCCCACGTCCTCCGTGCTCTCCTTTACGCGGCGCTGGCCGGGCCTGGATGTGCCGGTGGTGGGGTCACCACGAGCCGGGGTGCCTCCGGGTAGACTCTGTTGGGCGAGGGGAGAGAGCACCGTCTTTGTGCCCTCAGGAGTGACGTCAGAGCGGGTTTTGCCTGTGAAACCGAACGTGGCTCTGGTGTGGCTCACAGCCCCACCTGGGGCGCGGACCCCAGGGAGGACAGACGTGTGCAGGGGTGCTCTCGGGGCGGGGCGGGGGTGCGGGTCCGGGCGGCACCCCGCCCCCAAGGGCGCCAGGGATGCGCTGCCTTCTCAAGGCTCACCACCTGTCTGCTCGAGCTCAGCCGGCTTCCAAAGCGAGTGCGCCGTCCCCGCTTTACAGCTTCCAACCGCGGTTCCTGGCAAACGGCTTGAGGACTTACCGGCCAGCACAGAGGAGTGGGCTTCCTACTCCTGCCCCGAGGAAGCGATATCTGTATTTAAACAAGATAAAAGCGACTTTACCGTCAACGCGTCAAGCATCCAGAAGCCGGTGAGTTGACTCAAAGAAGTGGTGTGGGCCGTGGCCACGCGCCCGCCAGCCTGCGTTCCTGAACCATCTCCCCGAGCTGGAGCCTCCCTGTCGTGAAGTACGCCCAGAAGAGGGGCGGGGACAAGGCCTGGCCTCGCGAGGCGCCGAGGAGACACCTGCGGGTCGCCGCCCAGGCCAAGGCGCGGAGCAGGTCAGGCCCGGGGACCGTCCCCAGGAACGCGTTCCCGGCCGCCGCTCTCCCCAGACGACTGCCGGTGTGCGCGGGAAGCACTTCCTTCCTTTCGGCACGCACCACCCCCCACCCGCCAGGAGCACCCCGAACACGCCAACGCAGCTGCGTGTCGGGGTCTGTGGCCGCCGTGGCCATGGTGGTCGGCGCAGGCCGGGTGGCAGCAGCCTCCGACGTCTCTCCTCTCGGCTGTGGAGCCCAGGTGTCCAGAGTCCGTCTGGCCCAGCCCGAGTCAGGGCATCAGCGGGGCCACCTTCCCTGCAGGGCTCTAGGGGAGGGACTCCCTGCCTCGCCCAGCTCCCGGGGTCCCGGCGTCTCTGGGTAAGGGCCGTGTTCCCCCCTGTCTCTGTCTCCGACCTCAGGGTCCTCTCCTCCGTGTCACGTCCCTCCCTGCTTCCCTCTTACGATGACCCGTGGGGTGACGTCTAGGGCCCATCTGCCTAACCACGAGAATCTCTCCTTCTCAGGACTTTTTTTTCTTTTAAGTCTGGTACATGGTAATGCACCATTTCAGTTATTTTGTCCATTAATAACTAATATTTGAGAACATTTATAATATTAGTGGAGCTTAATCTAAGGGAAGTTCAACTTTTTTACATTTCAGTGTTGGGTTAACTAAGAGAAATAGTAAAAATAATTACGGTCAAAATTATTACGTCAAAAATATAATAAATGCTTGGTGTTAAGTCTACATACAATTCAGTTTTTGGCATCGGGTTCTTCGGCCGCGAGAAAGAACATTCGGTTCACATCATTAAGGGAATATTCCTTAAGGCTGGGATGGGCTCTTGGTATCTCTTCTGCTATTGACTCTTAGCAGAGTTCTCTGATTGTATGAATGGAGTTGAGTGGAGAGGTACTGATCGTGTCTATTCCAAATAGGAGTACATACGTGATTACTGTCGTGACGAGGAGGCAGGCAGGCAATGCGACCTCTCTATATTTTTGAGGCCAGTAGGCTAAGCCTAAGGAGTTTAGCCGAGACTTAGGAAGAAAGGCCCATACAAGATAGAGTATGAAGCCAAATTGGGAGCTTAAGAAAGAACAAAGCCATAGTTGCCCTTTCTGGCAATGGGGGCAGTGAATTTTCCACCATTTTCCCTGTGGCTTTAGACAACCTTTCTGACCTGGGACGCCAGAGCACAGGGTCAGCCAGAATGTTCTTTTCACCACCAGAGAAGATCCCCCCTACACACACCTTTTATTTTAACTATTCTTGGGGAGCATTTATATAAGATTTTTTGTTATTTCTTCCTTAAATTTGGTAGAATTCCCTGGTGAAAACCTTTAGGCCTATTCTATAAGGGAAGGTCATAAATTATGAATATAGTTTATTTCATGGTTATACATATCTTCAGATTTTCTGTTTCTTCTTACAATTTTATGGATTGTGTTTTTCTAGGACATTTTCACTTAATATAAAATTTCAGATGTATTGGCATAATGTTCTTAATATCCTTTTATTATCTTTTAGTGACTGTAGGCTCTGTAGGGATTTCTGTGTCTTCCCACCCCTCTTTCCTGATCAACCTCACCAGGGCTTACCAATTATTAGTCTCTCAAAGAACCACACGTTTTCCAGGCCACCCAAAGACCACTGGGTTTCAATGAAGTTCCTGAAGGGGCTGCTTTACTTCTAGATCACCCTTAACCGTAAGGTGCAGCCCTTTGGGAACCAGCCGGGACATGTAGCTTTCAGTGGGCCCTCAACTCGTTTTTTGCCTCCACCCTACAAAAAAAAAAATCAGAAGCATCATTCAGCCTCCCAGCTTCCTCTTGAATCAGCAGACATGCCCAGGACAAATGTACCCCAATATGTGAGGCTAATTTCTCTGGACACCCATCGTCTTCCAGGTCTCGGCCCAGTGATTTTTCCCAGCATTTCCCAGTTTTCAGTGCTTTTAGTGCGTTTTAAAAATAGTTCATCCAACTTCTCTAATTTTGTCAAACCTAGTTCATCTTTGTAAGTATTAGTTCTTCTCGATCTATATTCAATTTTAAAGCAGGTATTTGTGTTCCTAAAGAAAGTCTGTTTTTAATGGATCAGTAGTTTTTAGTGGAAGAAATCTAACAAAAACATTAATTTGAGTAAATATGTAAATGGATTGTTTCTTTGTTTTTAAAGTTTACTTATTTATTTTGAGAGAGAGAGCACAAGTGGGGGAGGGACAAAGAGAGGGAAGGAGATGGAGAATTCCAAGCAGGCTCCATACTGTCAGCACAGAGCCCGGTGTGGGGTTCAAATTCATGAACTGTGAGATTGTGAATTGAGCTGAAATCCAGAGTCAGCCGCTCAACCGAGCCACCCAGGCACCTCATAAATGGATTGTTTCTTGTGAGGACCTTTAACTGTACTTGGATGTTGAAGACTGTGGATGATTTCACATGACAAGATAAAAGTTATTAGTGAAGGAGAGGAGGAAGCACATCATTCATTCATTCATTCATTCATTCATTCGTTGTTCAACAAACACTGTTGAACACCTGCTGTGTGCTTAGAGCTATGCTTGGAATGGAGAAGGATAGAGGTTTTTGTAGAAAGACCCTAGAAGCTAGTGGTCTAACCTTCCTCCCTTCTTTGACCTTACATGTTTGTTGTGTGTTTATGTAGACATACAGTTTATATTATCTGGACCACTTGGTCAAAGCCCTGCAGAAGATGTCCCTTTACGAACTCACCATCCCAGTCCTGCAATTGGGCATACTAATTGCAGCCTCCGTGGTAGACAGCAAGAGCCTCAAAGATCTGTACCATCTTCGGTCAGTATAGCTGTTTTATTTTCAGGGAAACTGGGGAGCATTTAGGTGGCTGAAATGAAAATTTCCCCGAAGCAATATAAAAGCAAACAGCGTTTTCATATATTAATTCTGTAGTCAACTATTTCTATAAATAATAGTGCCTATGATTTGTAAAACCAAATCAATCAATATATTTGAACATAAAATAGTAATTTTATTTTACAATTTCTACCTGGTCTTTAAGAGAAGATCATTGTTCTAAGGAAATGCACACTGAAGTGTTAGAATAAAGGGCCACTGTGCCTGTAGCCGACACTCAAATCATCCAGAAAAAAATATAGGGTGTTGGGGGAGGAAGAGAAAACGGTAAAGCAAATGTGGTGAAGTGTTCACACTGAAGGAATCTGGGCGAGGGGCGTATAGTAATTATGGTATTTGTGCCGCAAGCTTGACATCATTTCAAAATACAACCATTTTACACCAGAATCAAAGTGGAGCCTCTCTCCTTGAGGGGGGAGGTGGTCAGAGCCCCAGCCACTGTGCCGGAGTTTTACCTCTGAAGGTGACCCTGAGACCATAAGTAGGTATTGAGTAAAATACATGAATGAGTATTAAAATTTTCTCTGCCTGAAATTTGGTAGAGTCACCTGTGTAATTTTGCTTGGGTTTAAACATTATTGAAAACCTCACTAAATTATACATTTCTTTTTCCGTTTACCAATTTTTATCAGGTCCCAGTACAGCCTGACTCTGATCCACCAGGTCCTGTGTGGCCCCATTAACTCTCCTTATTGCCCCCCTGCCCCTAGACTTGCCCTAGTTTGTTCCGATTTGAAGTTGCAAGAAGCAGCGACTTACCACGAAGAGGTGGTCGGGCAAACATACCTTTGTGACATGGAGCAGGCCAGGTACGGCGCCTCCCCCGGCTGTTAGGTCTCCTGTCGGCGGGACACGCTCCCCTGTCCAGAAGGGACGATTTGGCCAACCTGGGGCTGCTCTCGGCTGAGCCCCCTCCAGCCCCAGGCCCCATCCTTCATCACAGCCGGACGGTGGGCTGTGGGGAGACCCTCGGCCTTGGAGGCTGTGCCTCGGGGGGTGCAGATCTGTGCCTGGGGTCAGTGCCTGGGGTGGGGGCTGTGCCTGGGGGCAGTCATGGGCATTTTATTACCTGTAATCTCGGTCTTCCTGTAGCTATTTTCATTTGTATTTCTTGACGACCGATGAAGTTGGACATTTTCAGGTATTTCTTGGCCATCATATTTCTTTGGCGTATTAGTTGTGTTACTTATGTTAGCTGCAGAAAAGAAATCGCCTTGAGAAAGGAGAAAAACAAGGAACTGCTCTCCGAAGAAAGTCTGACGACGGTGCCCGAGCCCATAACTGCGATCCAGAAAGCAGAGACAAAGCCGCTCATAGCGAAGGATAAGGTACCCACTCTGCCCGCAGCACCGTGTTCCTGGCTGGGCAGGGACGGTGCTGAGGCTGCAGCCCGAGCCACTGGCCAGGACCTGCCGTGACTGCGCTGCGCCCAAACCCTCCTGCCGGGTTTCCCGTGTCCCCTCCCTGTGGGTCCCGGATGTCTCTGGGGAAGACGGGGCTACAGACCGCCATGGAGGGCTCCCCCCAGGGGCCTGGGCAGGACTCAGAGAAGACAGGCTGGGGGCGGCACGGAGGGCCCACCAAGAAGGGCAGTGGAGGCCCGGGCAGCTAGAGAGGCGGCCCCGGAAGTCTGACCACCAAGCAGCTCTCCCCTCCACGCAGTGGGCACACTTTGGGCGGTCTTGCCCCCGAAGGAAAGTAACCGTCCGGGCCACCATGCTCGGGACACCGCTCCATACTTGAGACTCCGTTTCTGAGCCCCCAGAGTCAACCGTTTGGGACACTTGGTAGGAACGTGCCAGGAGCCCCGGTGTCTTGCTGAATTCAGGGGCTCGGTGACCCCTCCCGTGCTGGTGTGGGTGCCGCGTGGTACAGGACAGCGGGGCCACGGAGCACGGGGCTCGGGCGGGAGCAGGGGCCACCTGGTGCTGGGCGTGCTGGGCGTGAGGCAGCCGGTCAGAAGACACAGGCCCCGGGAGACTGCACGCAGTGGAGACAGGGCCCCGGCCCGGCAAAGCGGGTCCTCCTGGCGTGGAGCCGAGGGGGCACACGTGCCTGCCATGCCTTGCAGATCTTGAAGATAAACGGAGAGACCGGGACTGGGCTGGAGGGGACGTCCTTTCCCCTTCTGTGGACCCTCAAGGCAGAAGTTCTGCTGGAGGTGGATCTGTACCAGCCTGCGAGGCTGCTGCTGTCGGAGGCCTACCTGGCCTTCCAGGTGAGAGGCCGCCCTGCCCGCGGGGACATGCGCCCTCTGCTGGGAAGCCAGCCTGCTGCTTGCCATTCTGGAACGCCCATCTTAGACTTGTATCTGAGTCTCTGCCCTTTGCCTGACGTTCCTCTGGTTTCCTTGCCTTCTGTACACAGAGTTTGCTAACATCCCTGCTTCCCATGGCTGCCGTGGGCCTGATTCCACGGCCGCTTTCTCTTGGATGGTAGGGCTCCTAATGGGCCGTTCAGCATTGCGTTTCCTGCCGTTGTGTGTGGAGGCTGAGAGCCTGAAGGCCCGGGCTGAGCCCCCCGCCCATGAGTTCTGTCCTGTCTCCTCAGGTGTGGGCCCTGCAGGTGTCTAGGGCCTCTCCAGGGCCTCTCTGGAAGCCTGGGGTTTTCCGAGCCCCCTTGGAAAGGCTAGCACTCGGGCCTGGCTGTTCAGATCTTCACTCGGCTCCTTAGGCCCCACTACTCTGTCCGCTGGGCTTCTTGAACCTGCTCTGTCCTCGAGCACAGATCTTTGGTCCTCCTGGTGTCCCCCATGAGTGGCCCTTCTAGTGCCTGGAGGCCCCAAGCCCAGCCTCCCCTCCCACGCTGGGCCCTTGCTTTTCTCCTGGGCTGTGTCCCCATGAGCATGGATGCCCACGTGTGCTCCCCTCCTTGGAGATCGTGGCCCTCCAACGCCTGCGGATGGGTGGTTCTACCTGCGTCCGGCTCTGAGAACTGTGTCCGCTGGGGAACCAGGCAAAGCTACAGAGCCAGACAGGTGGTCCGAGACAGAGAAGTCCCCAATAAAGGCACAAAACTTCAAGGCGTGGGAGGTTCAGGCAGTGGGGACAGGCGTGCGGGTCTCGGCCAGCAGGAGAGCTGTGTGCAGGCCTGGTGGCCAGATAGGCACGTGCGGTCCAGACTCCAGGGCCAGGAGGGGTGCGAGGGGTGGGGCCCGAGAGGCCGCAGCACCCTGCTGGCCACGGCCTCTTCTGAGAGCCCCTGGGGCAGAGTCAGTCCCCAGGGCATGGCTGGGCCACCTTTGCCGCCTCCAGATGCCACCCCGCTCCTCCTGAACCTGACACGGGTCCCACGTGCCCACGGGTTTTTCCCTCCCGGTCATCCACTGCCCTGAGCCACCCACCCCATGGCCGTGCCTCTGTGGGGCGATAGCAGTCACAGCCTGGTGACCTGTCCATGGGGTGTCTGCAGGTACGGGCCCCGCTTCTGTCCACGGCAACCCGCCATCGGCCTCTTTGCCGTGGCTCCACCGGCCAGCACCCCCCCCACCCCCCACATGTCCGCCTCCCATAGGCACCTCGTCGCCCTCCCCGCCTCCAGCCTGTATTTGCCGTCCAGAGCCCCGGCTCTTGGGACAGCAGGCCCCAGGCCCACCAGGCCCTCGGTCTCTTTGGGCTACGTGCCAGCTGCCCTGTCCGGGGCCACCTCGGACTGCCGCTGTTCCGGCCTGCGTCCTCCTGCCGGCTGTGGGTCAGAGGCCAACAGCACCCCCGCCCCACGCCCAGGCCACCTGCGACCATGCGCAATGGGTGGGGGATGAGACAGCCCTGGCCAACTAGGGTGCAAAATCTGCTCACCTGCTGGCCCTTGGCCAGCATCTGGACGGGGGCTCCTGGGCAGTGGTGGGGGGGGGGAGGGGGGGACACTGGAACCTGCCGCTAAGGGGAGGGGGCTTCCCAGGGCCCTTGGCACTGTTGGAACCCTGGAAGTGGTTTTAGCACAGGTACAGGCCTCAAGCCCCCCCACCCCTGTGCCCTGAGGGCAAATACGGGGCCTCCTTCAGAGGTCAGGGAGCAGCCCAGTGGACACGGTGTGGGAAGGCCTGGTGCCCGGAGCTGCTCTCTCTGTCTCTGTCTCTCTCCCCCTCCCGACCCCCCTCCTGTCTTTCTACGTCTTTCAGGAGCTTGATGATCCTTGTGCCCAAGCAAGATGCCTGCACCTTCTAGCGCAGTTGGCGAACAAGGAAAGAAACTACGGACAAGCTAAGCAGTTGGTGCAGTGGGCGCAGCGCCTGGGGGGCAGCGAGGAGTTCTGGTACAGCTCAACCCTGACCCTGGCGGACACGCTCCTGTCCATGGAGGGCAAAGGCAGAGAAGTGGCGGTGAGGGGGCCGGGTGCGCTCGAGAGGGGCCCGTGGCCGGTCCCGGTGGCCGAGGGCCACACGCCGACGCCACGTTGCCGTCCCCAGGTCTGCCAGTTGTTTCAGAGACTGATAGACACCTTCAAGCTTCTGCAAAAAGAAAGACCGAACCGAGTGCCCGTCTTGGAGTTTATGGCCACAGACCTAGAGGCCAGGTAGTCCTTTGTAAGAAAAGCTTAATTCGCATGACGGTCGTAGCTCACTTTGTCCTTTATGCGGCATTTCAAACCTATCGCGTGCAGGGAGTCACGCGGAGAGCCCTCTGCCCACAACCCCCTACCCAGGCGACCTGCTCTGGAGCAGAGCCTTCCCTGGGACCCCCTGCCTGCTGCACGCGGCCCCTGGGGGAGGGAGGCCTGGGGACATCTCGGGAGCCTGACCTTCGGCCTTCGGGCTCCTGGGGGCAGTGTCTCTTTCTTTCCAAAGTGCCTTTTTCTTGGGACGGGGGTGCAGGTGGCTTGGTTTGTTCCTAAATTCTCAGGGGACACACGCTTCTGAGCAGACGCTGAGGGGCGGGCCCAGCCCCGGTTGGGGGCTGGCTGCGGGGTCTTCTCCACCCTTCACCCTCCGTCAGTGTGGAACTGCGTCTGGGAGCAGACACCTCCCTGGGGTCTGTCCTGCTCCGTGTTCGCTTTGTTCTGGCCGGTGGTTCTGCGCCTCCCGCCCAGGGGGCAACGGCAGGTGCACTGGGGACAGAGCCTCCAAGAGCAGCTCTGGGTCTCCTGTGCTTACTGGTCTTGCAGACTTTCAGCTTGTTTCTGAGCCAGCTTTCTGGTAACTTCTATCCTTCTAGAAAATCGTTTCCTCTGGTTGTGTTAGTAGACGTGTTTCTGGGCTCTTCCCCTGTGACTTCACAGAGCGTTTCTCGTAGGTCCCGCTCCTCCTCGGTGCCCTCACTCTTTTCCCAGATCAGACTCCACACCAACGGCTAACTGACCTCAACAAAGAAGCAGCTTTGGCTTTCTTGATCAGAGCAGCCGGGACTTTGTCGTATTTTGGTTTTCTTGATTTTCTGCTTTGTCTTTGTTCAGTTCTTGGCTGTGTATTTGAGAGGCGCTGTCCTGTTCCGTTTTCACTGGTCCCGTGGGTCACCCAGCCTGTCCCCCCTCCCCCGGCAGGCACCCCTGACGTCCCCTGGCAGCGGCCCGCAGGTCTGATGTGCGAAGACTGCCCCGTCCGTGTGGGTTTCTGCCCCTGAGTCAGAGGAGAGCGGTTTTGAATTTCCAGAAGCATGTGATGGCGGGGTGCGGGCTGCTACCTTCCGACTTTATCGCGTTGTGACGGAGGCGTGTGTGTGGCCCGTGTGGTCTCTGCTCTTCCGGAAGCGCTCCTCAGGTGTTTCCTCCGGCAACGCTGGTGACACTGCAGTGGCCACACATGACGGCCCACGTCCCATACAGGTGCGTGAGCCTCCAGATCAAGGCCGCTCAGGAGTCAGCTGATGGCGAACCTCCCGGATGCTTGCTTCTGCTGAACAAAATGGACGACTGCTTGACGGAAATTGAGAAAAGGTTGATCACCTGGGGCTACAGAGACAATTGTGTGGATATAAGACTAGAGCGCGCCAAGATAAAGAGGTGAGCGGCCCTCCCGGGCCCCCGGAGCTCTGCCCGGGCCGGTGTGC